ATGCCTTGAATGTGCTGGAAGAACAAGTCACCATTCCGTCTCGCTCAAGCGTCATTATTTCAGTCGGCGCTCCTAAATCACCTGACTTGGAAGGCGTCGTTGAAGGCAGCCAGCATCTGTTGGTCACCCGAAATATTTGCATCGCAAGAGGAATTGCAGAGCTGCGGGGAGACAAAGCAACGGTTATGCTCACGAAATTCAGCAATGAGTACAAACATGTGAACAAAGGAACAACGGTCGCATACATCGAAGAAATTGTAGAAGCCACCAGTGCTTTCGCTCTCGCCGATTCTGCGGAACCTGCTCAGAGAAACCAAGCCCCTCCCATAGCTTTCGATGTCAATCCCAGACTTCCGAACCTTAAGCAAGAACAGCTCAAGGCCCTGCTCCTGCAATATGAAGATTGCTTTTCGTCGTCATCAAAAATTCGGCAGACCCCAATCACGAAACATCGCATCATAACTGAAGAAAATGCCAGACCACTTCGTCAGAGTCCGTACAGGGTTTCGATGCGAGAATGTGATGCCATGAAGAGACAAGTTGATGAAATGCTGCGGGATGACATTATCCAGCCGTCCAAGAGTCCATGGGCATCCCCCGTGGTGTTAGTGAAGAAAAAGGATCGGACCTTACGTTTCTGCGCCGATTATCGCTGCCTGAACAAAATCACAAGAAAGGACGTGTATCCTCTCCCACGAATCGACGACGCACTTGATCGGCTCCATAACGCCAAGTACTTTTTGTCCATGGACCTCAAGACTGGCTATTGGCAAATCGAAGTCGACGAAAGAGGCCGAGAGAAGACGGCGTTTATAACACCGGATGGCCTCTTCGAGTTTAAGGTGATGCCCTTCGGTCTTTGCTCAGCGCCTGCAACTTTTCAAGCGTTATGGATACAGTACTGGCAAGATTGAAGTGGCAGACTTGCCTTGGGTACTTCGACGATGACGTCGTGTTTCCTCGAGTTTCGACGAGCATCTTCGGCGCCTTGAAGCTGCACTTCAAGCCATCAAGACGTCCAAACTCTCACTGAAGCCAGAAAAATGCAGATTTGCGTACAAGGAGCTCTTGTTTCTGGGGCACGTTATTAGCAAGTCTGGAGTTCGTCCCGATCCACGGAAAACAGCCGCCATCGCCGACTTCCTGTCGCCCACTGACAAGAAGGCGGTGCGCCGATTTCTGGGCCTGTGCGCCTATTATAGGCGGTTTGTGAAAAACTTAGCCCGCATCGCCGATCCTCTCACTAACCTTACCAGGGCCGACGTGGAGTTCAAGTGGGAAACGCCGCAGGAACACGCTTTCCAGGAGCTTAAACATCGCCTCCAGACGCCTCCGTTACTTGCCCATTTCGACGGATCGGCCGAGACAGAAATACACACTGACGCAAGCAAGCAGCGAAGGTCTTGGCGCCGTTCTTGTGCAGAGGGCTGACGGACTTGAAAGGGTTATTAGTTACGCCAGCCGATCGCTATCCAAAGCAGAAGCCAATTATTCCACAACAGAAAAGGAGTGGCTCGCTATCATCTGGGCTACGTCGAAATTTCGCCCCTACCTCTACAGGAGGCGTTTCAATATTGTGAGCGACCACCACGCCTTGTGTTGACTAGTCACCTTGAAGGACCCTTCAGGTTGCCTCGCACGATGGAGCCTGAGACTTCAATATGACATTACTGTCATTTACAAGTCCTGCAAAAAACACTCCGACGCCGACTGTCTCTCCCGTGCGCCTGTCGACCAACCACCACCCGACGACCCGGATGACGACTACTTCGTGGGAACGATAACTACCGACGACTTCGCTGAACGACAGCGGGCCGACCCGGAACTTAAGGCCCTAATAGAATACCTCGAAGGCAGGACCACCGAAGTCCTGAAGGTATTCAAGCGCGCACTTGCGTCGTTCTTCCTGTGAAACGGTCTTCTTCAAAAGAAAAACTTTTCACCGCTTCGAGCTAAGTGCCTCCTTGTGGTGCCTTCAGCTCTGCGACCAGAACTCCTGCAGGCCCTGCACGACGATCCGACAGCAGGGCACCTCGGTGTTTCTCGCACACTCGCGAGGATACAAGAAAGGTACTACTGGCCACGTCTTACCACCGACGTCACTCGTTATGTGAGGACATGCCGGGACTGTCAGGGACGCTAGGCACCGCCGACAAGGCCAGCGGGACTTCTGCAGCCAATTGAACCACCTTGCCGACCTTTCCAGCAGATTGGTATGGACCTACTGGGGACGTTCCCGACGTCGGCTTTCGGAAACAAGTGGATCGTGGTAGCTACCGACTACCTCACCCGCTACGCCGAGACAAAAGCCCTTCCCAAAGGCAGTGCATCCGAGGTAGCTAAGTTCTTCGTTGAAAATATCGTCCTACGTCACGGCGCCCCGGAGGTCCTTATCACCGACAGAGGAACAGCATTTACTGCCGACTTAACTCAAGCGATCTTGGCATACAGCCAGACAAACCACCGCCGGACGACAGCGTACCACCCACAGACCAAGGGCCTCACCGAGCGGCTTAACAAGACGATCGCCGACATGCTGGCAATGTACTTCGATGTCGAACACAAGACGTGGGACGGCATTCTTCAATATGTGACCTTCGCATACAACACGGCGGTGCAGGAGACGACGCAGATATCTCCATACGAATTGGTCTACGGAAGGAGCCCGGCAACGACGCTCGATACCATGTTACCCAACGTCACCGACGAAGAAAACCTCGATGTGAGTGAGTACCTTCAACGCGCCGAAGAAGCCCGACAACTCACGCGTGTCCATATCAAGAATCAACAGACGACCGAAAGCCGCCGTTACAACCTTCGACGACGCTTCGTGGAATACCAGCCCGGTGAACGTGTTTGGGTGTAGACGCCGATACGCCGACGTGGACTAAGTGAAAAGCTTCTGCGACGGTACTTCGGACCGTACAGGATGGTTCGACATCTCGGCCCACTTGATTACGAGGTTGTCCCTGACAGCATCACGAACTCTCAATGACGCCGATTGCAACCTGAAGTCGTCCATGTCGCGCGCCTCAAGCCGTTTCATGCGCGTTGACAAACTGAAAAAGTGTTTTTTGTATTATTGTATCGTAATTTATTCATTGTACTTTCTTGCATTATTGTTGTACCTTCATATTTAGTTAAAGTATCGGGACGATGCCTTTTTAAGAGGGGGGCAACGCCACGTTCCATTTCCTAAGTTTTGTTATCGTTCCAAAACACTACACAATTCTCAGCGCGAACCGCCTGCAGTTTTCGAGAAGCTTAGGACTGTAGTAGATCATTTCGATAAGATCACGCCTACTCTGCGAACTGTACAGATTATTCTGGAACCTACGCCACCGCCAGCGATAACGCTAGAACATTCGACGGCAAGAGTATAAATGCCGACGCGCTTCGCCGCTAGTTGATCGACAGCCGACGCTCCGTTCACTGCTATCTGTGCAAGACTGCTACTGTAATCGAACTTTCCGTTTACCGGGCACAGGTTCGCCCAAATAAACAGTTAAATCCCAACATAAAGTCTCCTGTCTTCGGCCACGTCACAACCCCGTAACAATATACAGGCGACTGCACGTGAGCACCAACTGAAATGCTGGTGCTCATTTCATTTTTAGACTGCATACAATACTTTTTACTACACTCAAACCTCAATATTTCATTCCTCAGATATAACGAAATATTGGTTATAACAATGTGAATGAAAAATAGTCTTGCATTAAATATAGTGTTAGAAGTAAATTTTTATAACGAATTTATGGATATAACAAACTTATTTTCGTGTAAGATGCAACTTTGTTACAATGAGGTTTAAGTACTGGAAATTTATAACAATCGAAAACATTCCAGAGGGGTGGCAGACATCCAGGCATTGCTTGCACTCAGTCGGTGGTTCTCAAATGGGGTCCGCGAAGTCCATTTCTATGATTCCGCAAAACCCTCACCCGCTTTTTTTTTGTGTGTGATGCATATTGATGAACTGTCCAAAATTAAGTGATGAGGCTCATTTGTTTGATGTCTTTCGTAGCAATAAAAGGCACCTGTTTCACGCTTTAGTAGGGTTAATTCACTTTAGTATACATACTCCCCCCTTCCCTCCCCTCCGCTGCAAGGGGTCCGCCATTACTTCCACCAGTCCACAAAGGGTCCCCAACACATCCATGGCTGAAAACCACTGCACTAAGTAGCAATAAGCACTGACAGCTCTGACCAATACAACCTAGCTGCAGGCGAAAAATATATACTGAATCTCCTGTAAGAGTTGTATAAGTTATCAGTAAGCATATAGCTTTGTTGTAGGAAATTCTATGGTCTTCCCTGGAATGTTTATTCTGGACAGCATTGGATTCCCACTTATCTAGCATTCAGCAACAGCATGAACAGGCTAATATGATCACGATCAGTGAAACATGAGTTTGGCAATACATTTTTTGCAGTGTCGAAATTGCCTACAAGTACAGAAACACGTTTCGGCTTTATATGTTGCCATAAAGATAGCTTTGCTCTCGTCCTCCGAAAACTATTTCTACGTCTTCATGGGGAAATCTTCACCTTTTATTATTTTCTTTTTATTTCCTTTGAATGCAGCTACAATGCATTCATTTGGTTCAGCTAGTCAAATTCTGCAACTCCGTGAGTGTGGGCCAGCACTTGCCTTTCAAGTGGGTGCCACTGCATTCGGAACCTGGCACCGCTAAAAAAGTTGGTCTTTCTATAAATTTATTTCTTTGATTAACGCGACAGAGAAGCAGACAGAACCCCCCTTGCCTTATTTACAAATGTTTACGCACCCAAGGAAAAAAGCTTTGTAGTATGTAGCGATGTAGTAACGATAACGTTAAATTAAATGCGGTTGCTGGTGCACCTCTTCTGGGTCTTCTTTGATGATGTTGCATGACTCTACAACAAGATATCCACTAGCCTGTACTGAAATCCTCGTTCACTAAGGAGAGAAACAAGATAAAGTATTGACGAATCTAGGACGTGAAAGCGTAGCGTACCAGCAGCAAGTCGACAAGCAACTCCAAAACAAACTGCTCCGACAGATCGTGATGCTTCTCAGCATAGGCAGCCAGGCTGCATTCACACAGCTCTGTCAGAATGTACAGCCGATGGTCTTCCTCCCACGCCTTGATGAAGCGCACACAGTGAGGGTGAGGTGGCAGCAGCTCGTGCTTGGCAACCTCCTGCAACTTGAGCCGACGATCACGATGGCCCCGAAACTGGCGACTGGCCACCTTTACAGCATACCATCGGCCATCGTCCAAGGATCGCACTTTGTAAACCTGCAAACATGGAGCGACAGTTCATATCAAGCAAAAGCCTGGGCTTGTCTGAACATGCACGTTATGAGGTTAAAATAAAAAATAAGAGAGACAGCTACAATGACACCGACAAAAAAGTGCCAACTTACAACAGGCATAATAAAAAGTGATCCCTCTGCTCTTTGGCACAACTGTTTAAATCATCATCATCATATCAGCTTGACTACATCCACTGCAGGACAAATACCTCTCCCATGTTCCGCCAGTTAACTCGGTCCTGTGCTTGCTGCTGCCACTTTATACCTGCAAACTTCTTGATCTCATCTGCCCACCCAACCATCTGTCTTCCCCTAACTTGCTTGCCTTTTCTGGCAATCTAGTTAGTAACCCTTAATCACCAGCGGTTATCCTGTCTACGCGCTACATGCCCGGCCCATGTCTATTTCCTCTTCTTAATTTCAGCTATGATATCCTTAACCCCCGTTTGTACCCTAATCCACTCTGCTCTCTTCTCGTCTCTTAAGGTTACACCTACCATTTTTCTTTCCGTTGCTCGCTGCGTTGTCCTCAATTTAAGCTGAACCCTCTTTGTAAGTCTCCAGGTTTCTGCTCTGTGGCTAAGTACCGGCAAGATACAGCTGTTATATACCTTCCTCTTGAGGGATAATGGCAATCCACCTGTCATAATTTGAGAGTGCTTGCCAAATGTGCTCCACCCCATTCTTATTCTTCTATTTACTTCAATCTCGTGGTTTAGCTCGTGGTTAGGGCGGTTATTACCTGCCCTAAGCAGACATTGTCTTTTACAACTTGAAGTGCGCTATTACTTATCTTGAAGCGCTGCTCCCTTCCGAGGTTGTTGTACATTACTTTCGTTTTTTGCATATTTATTTTAAGGCCCACCTTTTTGCTCTCCTTGCCTAACTCCGTAATAATGAGTTGCAATTCGTCCCCCCTGAGTTACTCAGCAATGCAAAGTCATCGGCGAAGCGTAGGTTACTAAGGTACTCTCCATTAACTCTTACACCTAACTGTACCAATAAAAAAAAGCATAAGGCAGAGGGACACAATCTCCCCAATGCTATTTACCGCGCGCTTACAGGAGGTTTTCAGAGGCCTAGATTGGGAACTGTTTGAATGCCCAAGAACAAATGTCAGTCGCCAAGCTTTTAATAGAGAAAATTTGAGTGGAACAGTGGTTGAAACAAAAAAAAAATGTAAATACACGACAGAATAGTCAACTTGAATTATGACTGAGAGGGGAGCTTCTTTTCAAACATGTTCAAAGGTCCGTATTCACAAACGTTCCTCAACTCAAAAATCTACCTCAAGGGATCGTTCAGGACTGTTTCGCTTTGCAATTCCTGCAACGCCAAACATCTCAAGGATCCTTTGAGGTCACGTTCCGAGTCAAGGAGCATTTCTTTATGTGGGCCAAATAAACATTTTTGGAACTTGGTAAAAGCATTTAGTTTTCTCGGAGTATGCTCCTAAACAGCATGCAAACAAATGCGTCAGACCGAATTTCATCTTGTCCACCGTCTTAAAAACTTCTCATTGCCTCTTTACTTTGGCACAGTGAAGAACACCTACGTCAGCAAACTACAGATGGCAGCTGCATCTAGGAAACTGCTAAAACTATGAACACTGTGCGATACTGGGATAAGGGGGGGGGATGTCAAACATCTTAAAGGAGGCACAAAAAGAGCCAATGGATTTCCCTGAATGGAGCAAGAGTTAAAATGAAGAAAAAGCATTGACAGATTATCTGCAGGAAAATAAGAGAGAGGAAAATTTTAAATAGAATCAGAGCGGCAAGAGAGAATTCTACAAAAGCAACCAAATGAAGGAAGGGTGCGGTACATTGCTAAAATAAAGCTAAAACACTTGGCACTGGTAATGATTTCTGGCCCCGTCTGAAAAAGCCGACAGGATGAGAAGAGTTCAGATCAGGAAGTAAATGGGTCAAAATTGAACAAGTCTGAGAACATAAGAAAAACATTTCTATTCTTTAATAGTGTATTATGAAGACTAGAAAAAAGTCACAGTTTCAGCACATGGCCGAAGCAATGAACGCAATAGCAACACATTGGGCTCTTATACGAAGCACAGCCAGGAAATTCAGGAATCATACGAAGTGTAGTGAACATAGTCGATTGTGCTTGAGACAGTAATACAGTAATTACAGTATCTAAACACATGCTGTAGTCAATAGCTGACAACGCGACATCCGACAGGAGGCAAAGTCCAAGTCTGGCATCGAGAAACACGACAAGCCACTGGTTTTTACATCGAGGTAATCTCAAACCTCGACATAACGAACCCAGATATAACGAAATATTGGTTATAACAAAGTAAATAAAGAATAGTCTTGCAATAGATACACTGTTAGGAATATACCTTTATAACAAATTTTCAAATATAACAAACTTATTTTCGTAATTATTATAATGAGGTTTGAGAGCACATAAACGTTTAAATCTACAGAGACTATCACCAGCACATCCTGAAGGCACACCACACAGAAGTGGTTCAGCAAAAAGTTCATGATGTCAGTCCGCAAAGTTACTGGTGAGATGTACAGTGCTGAAAGGACAAAGCCGTGCCATGTTTTAATGGCGCAAGCGTGGTCACAAGTTATCTGGGGCAGCGAGTAGAGTTTTTACATCTAAAGTGATAGTGGCGGTGCACATTTCGATGGTAACCGAACTCACAAGCACGACAGGATCAGCAACTTCCCAAATACTTCTGAACTTTATGTGAGCAACTTTCCCTATAGCTTCAGAGTGAAAGTAGAGAAGAAGAATGGCGATTTGGGCTAGTTGGTTTGAATTCATGATAATAAGGGTTGCAGCGCGAGCACGAATGTGCTAGAAGAAACAGACGAAAGTCGAAGTACGGAAGGCAAAAAGGACAACACGAGCGCTGTGTTGTCCTCTTTGCCTTCCGTACTTCGACTTTCGTCTGTTTCTTCTAGCACATTCGTGCTTGCGCTGCAACCATGAAAGTAGAGCCAGACACATTTTGGAATGCCCCTTTAATCCAACTGTATGTGCTTCAGTGGCCCACCCCTCCACTGATCAAGCTATAAAACACTTCCAATGCTTAGGAAAAGCATGTATATTTTGTCCAAACAAAGTACTACATACCTTGTCCACGAATGTTTCTTTCAAGTCCAGTGACAGTAAGCCAGTGGCAAATATGTATATAGATAGCTCGCCATTAGCAAGATGGACAGTATGAGCGGCTTGGCCTAGTTGGTTAATGCAGTGCACTGAGGAGCGAGAGGTCGCTGGTTTGGATTATCGATGGGTGGTTTGGAATATTTGCTTTCGATTTATTTTTTTCTTTGAGGCTTTTATATATATATACTACGCTTACACATATAGGGGACATGGCAGCAATGACGAAAAAATCAGCCAAGAGCGTCCATATAACTGCTATCGCAATAAATACAAGAATACACACCACTCCAAAAGAGCCTTCCCCCAATTTCTGGTCCACTTGGAAACACTGGTACAAGTAGGAGGTGGGAGAGTTCTTGTTATAGTGCCGACTTCTGAAAGCTGTCCAACGACATGACAGTCAAGTATAACTGATGGCTTGCGAATAAGCAGAATGTCAAACAAAACAAGCATAGTTTTTTTTTTGTCACATACTGAACCTCAGCCTTCAAAAGCTGTACCAGGCCTGCCTAGTGAAGTCAACACCAGCATTTTACATAGTCAGGCAATGAAATACAGACTGCGACAAGGGAAGTCTGCTATTGCTTGAAACAGTTGTTGAGGAGGCATATGTCCACAAGCTCCAAATGTCTGAGAGGTATTTCAGTCTGAGCTCTATGCGCATAGCTTTTTTTTTTTCCTCTTTAATTTTTTTGGACAGGGTGGGGTGAAATAGGTGCAAGTAAGGAATAAAAGTTTATAATAAATTATAGGAGAAAAAAAGAGCAGTTCTGCAATTGCCTTGATATGTGACTAAATAGGAAGCAGTTTGAGCAAGTGGCCACCTAATCCACGAAATAACACCCATCTTGACCCTGGCTCACCAGCACTGTCTTTTAAAAACCAGAAAAACAAGTAGCAGACACTTGTAGAATTTGTCTGTACATTTTTTAGCACTTAATAGACACTTTTAGTCCATAAGCTTAGAGTCATGTCTCAGATCCATGTCAAGGCACTTCCAATAGCTTTAGCCTGCAGTACCTTTAATGTTTGGCAAGCTGTCTACTGAGTGAACTGTTTTTCTACCAAGCTGGGTACTGTTGCTGAAGAGACACAAAAAGCTTCCAGAACACACAAATCACTGGGGATTTTCGGGTGAGTTGGTTAAATACACGAAAAGGCGTTGCAGTGCTAGCAGATGCTGATGAGGAAAACTAATGGGGCCCGATGCTCGTTCCGTTGAGTCTTGCTCGTCTGGGCCATATAGCCAGGACAAAACCACATCTGCAGCTCCATGCAAAACAGTTCACAAACAAGGCTCAAAGGATACAGGATTCCGAGCCACTAAAGCTGACCGACTGAGCGTGCCGAGGTAGGTCCAAAAAATAGCTTGTTCTGTTCACAGATGACACTGGCGGCGGTCGTAGCCGCTGTCTTCCTCGAGCTTGGCTCTCCTGTAGGGAGTTTCGAGAAAGAAGAGAGCAGGTGAACTACTTTAAAATCTTAAGAAAGAGCTCCTTCTCTAGGAAGTGCTCCCTCCATTTTTTTTGGGGGGGGGGGGAGAGATTTTAAATGCACCCTCCTTCAATTTCCACCATTTCATTGTTTTTATTCATCAAATGAGGATTAATAAAAACAGTGAATACATGCTTTTTCAATGAACCACTTAATTAGAAGCATAGTTGTACATATATTTGCATGTTGCAAAACATGCTTTTATATGCCATGTATTAGAAGAGATGCCTTCTAAGATCAAAGCTGCAAAGTGTTGGTAGATCGTTGGGGCACTCCTTTGCAGCACAAACTCGACGCAAGGACAAAGGAATAAAGACACACATTACGTGTTGCCTTCATGTCTTTGTTCCTCTGTCCTTGTGTCGAGTTTGTGCTGCAAATGAGCGCGTTCTAAGAGATGCCTTTTAAGAGATGCTATCTATTCTCTGAAAAATAAAAAAAAAATGTTAAGAAATAAAGTGTAAGAGGTCCCACCTACAAGACGTACAAGTGAAAGACAAAAGACAATCAAAGCAGCACTATTTTTACTTCTCCAAGACTAACCTCTTAAAAAAAGGGAAAGAAAGAATGAAAAGTGGACTAATTATAACACCCTATTTCGGAGCACAGCAGTTGAGCAGTTCCATTGAAAATCGCAATTCCTTGTAATGGAATACACTAAAACAGAGCCAAGATATGGCTTCCTTTTCTGCAGAGTTGCCAGCAACATCTTGATTGAATTATTACGCAGTGCTCTATTTTTTCAGATGCTTTTAGGAAAGTGGTGCAAAATGACTAAATTATAGGGCTGCCAACTTTAGCCTAAAAAAAAGAGGCACTACAAGGGTGGCGGTAATTACGAGACATTCAGGTAAGAACAGTAGATGCCATGTTGAGTCTCTGGCATGCAGTACCATCGAAAGTAATATAGCTCTCCTTGAGAGAAGTAAACTTGATGTACATGTTGATAAACAACACGAGATAACCTAGGCTGACTGTGGTATAAAAATACCCATGATTGGAGTGACACTTGTACTAAAGGTAAGCAGGCTTTTTGTTAATGTCCGAAATGTGCTGAACTGAAAAGGAACCACATACTCTGTTCATAGAAAGCTGTTATTTGAGTAAATACATAGGCCAGTGAATTGCTACAAAAATATTTGATATTAATATAAGCATGCACACACAATAATATGCTGTATTCCAACACACGCTACACCTGAAGGGAATCAAAAGGAGGCTGACTAATAGCACAACTGTTTTTTTGGCGGCTGAAGATAGATCAGCCTGACGACCCTCACTGGAGGACAAAGGCTTGACTACACCCACTTCAAGACAAAGGTGTCTCTCACATTCCACCAATCAACCCAGTCTTGTGCTTTCTGCTGCCATGTTGCACCTGCAGACTTTTAAATATTATCTGCCCACCCAGCATTCCTTCTCCTCCTCGTGCCTTCTCTAGGAATCCAGTCAGTTACCCTTAAGAAAAAATATGAGCCGAAAAAACGCAAGCTTTTCCAGAATTACATATTATTCGTTTTTATTTGCTTTGACAAGTTTAGTTCCTCTACTTTCACAACAAAAAACTGAAGATTGTAATTAAACTCGAAGTATGTTAAAATGTGTGTGTATATATATATATATATATATATATATATATATATATATATATATATATAAGTACTTTGAGCACACCTACACATTGTACAGGATGTGGAAGTAGTTGGCAAGATCCGATGCAGCGAGACCATGCAGGTCTCAAATTCCCCTAGACATGAAGCAACGGCAGAAACTGATATGCGAGAAGCAAATTAATGAGCTGGCGCTGAGAAAGAAAGTACAGAAATTCAGAGTTTCGATTTAGAATACACACGGATTTACCCAAGGACCCCAATGTTAGCATTGAAGCAATGAATAATAATCTGACTAGAATCATTAACGAGTGTACAGCAAAAATTGGGGGTATGGTCATTCGACGTGACACTGGCAAGCTATCCCGAGAGACGAAAAAACATCATTAAATGTCAAACCATGAACGCCTCAAATGCAACAGACAAAATAGAGCTGGCAGAGCTTTCAAAGTCAATAAGCTAAAAGTGGCCGACATAAAGAGGCAAAACATCGAGAAAATTCAGCGTGCTGTAAAGATCGGAAGATGCCTAAAAGCTGTGAAGACAAAACTGTGCATAGCCAAAAATTGGATGTGTGCATTAACCCCTAGCAGTCCAAAAATTTTACCCACTTTTCCGGCTCTACTAGTCCGAAACTATTTTGCCACTTTCTGGCGCCGCGAAGAAAAACACAAACTGTGGAAGAAAAAGTCACGAGATATTTGTTTTTGTTACTTCATTCGGCAGGAAACTCCTTTACTGATGTTTGGGCAGCGTATGATACTCCTCAAAGCATTCTCCTGGGTGCACATCAGGGTTGTTACTGCAGATTTTGCAGAAAAAAAAGGTGCCTCCACCTCCCTCGTTGTAGTCACATCTGCCGAACCACTGTCTGGTAGAGGCACGTACTCTCTTCCTCGCTAAAGTCATCCTCTCTTTGACTAAAAGCACCACTGTAAAATGCATGTGGTGAAAATGTGGCCACACTTTTCAGTGAATCGCGTGCAAATTGGTACGCTCTAGGCTCTGTGCTAAATATAGTGCTGCACCATAGTGTAAAAAAAAAGTAAACTTCAACAAATTAAGCTTACTCATTCCTCAAGAGATGGCACGTCATGTTTTAAAAAATGCATACGACTTTCAGTGAGAAAATTACGAAATTTAAACCGCGAACAACCATGTCGGATAGTGCCCAACAGCCGACTGCTAAGGCCGTGTTGCGTTGTCAGGCGCCCGACAACAGACCACAAAAGGTTAAGGGATGAGGAAGGCTAGGTAAGATGATTGAGGTAGTAGAGGAATTCTAAAGAGATCAGTACAGTAGCCAAGACAATCAAGATGATAATGTAAGCAGTAATAACCCAGATGAATCAGACATGCCACCCGTAATGACTGGTGAACTAAAGGAAGCCCTAGAGGGAATGCAAAGAGGCAAATCTGCTGGTGAAGATCAGGTAACAATAGACAGCAGAGAGATTGCGTTAGAAAAACTGGCCACCCTGTATACGAAGTGTCTCTTAATGGAAAGGGTACCAGAATCTTGGAAGGATGCAAACACCATCTTAATCTATAAAAAAAGGGGACATTAAGGATTTGAAAAATTAGATGCCAATCAGCTTATTGTCTGTTCTCTACAAACTATTTACAAAAGTAATCGCTAATAGAATCATGGCGACATTGGAGTTCAATTTACCAAAAAACCAAGCAGGATTTTGTACAGGCTACTTAACAATTGATCATATTAATACTATAAACGAGGCAATAGAGAAATGTGCCGAGTTCAATAATGACAAGGCTTTTGATACGCTGGAGAAATCAAGAGTCATGCAGGCACTGTGGAATCGGGGAATCGACGTAGCCTATATAAACATACTGAAAGAAATGAAAACTAGTTTTACGCGAACTGGCACTTATAAAATGACCATGACAGACAACTAGAAACGCTTCCAAGCAACTGAAATTAAATTTAAAAACAAAATGTAAATAGGGGCATAGGTCGACAGAACTCATGGAGCTCACTCAGACTCACTCATGAAATATATTGTGCGTTTAGGGACTCACTCGTACTCAGAGTCACGAAAATTTGCTTCAGCGGGACTTGCTCGGACTAAAAGTCGCCAAAACATTTGTCTGAGTGAGTCGACTCACGAGTCCGTCAGTCTGAAATTAGCTTTTTGACCGTGGTGTCAATGCTTTTTAACACCAATATCTCACGTAATCTGTGCTCTTCTTGACGTTGTTTGATATAGTATCTTATACAATGAGTTCTGAGTGCTTCCAAACTAGTGCGGTAATTTTTCTTGTAGGAGATGACATCATAAAATAAAATAACCAAGAAATTGCCTGGAAGATTTGGTGGGGAGAGATTTAGACACTTCCCTACGTAATTCATGCCTCTGATTAATAAATGTAGAAACGATGTATGAACGTCACTGCTTTGAATACCTGTAAGTAGACGTGAGTATAAACGTGAATCCATGTAAGGTTGATAGCAATGCTGAAGATAAGTAGATAGCACCTTAGGTCAGTAAAATAAAGTTACTCACTCAGACTTACTCAAGAAATATATTCGGACTCAGACTCACACACGGCTCAATCCGAGTTTGAATGAGTTCGCCGACCTATAAACATCGGGTTGTGTGCTCGAGCCATATTTTTTTACGGATTTTATCATTCCAAGCAGTTGTCCCACAGCGTCGGTTTCGCCACCGGCAAGTAAAGACGGGCGCCGCCTCCTGATGGTTTTTTTTTTTTGCTTGATCTTGTTGTGCATACATACTAAAAAAAAAGTTGAAGCACAACACAATAAAGGAGAGTACAATGAAGTCAAAGAGGCGAAATGACGCTACTTCACAGCTTAGACAAATATGATTGCACCAATGGCAAATGAAGTGTCGCCGAAGTTCGTTTCAGAAACCTGCCAAGCACAGTGCACACAGCAGGTCGGCGTTTCTTAGCGCATGAACCAACTACATGTAAAATCTTGTACTGCATTCGACAGTGCTGTCGTGCTTAAAGCGACTACACTGAATGAACAGAGAAAAATTACCGTGCATGAGGGTCGACACAGATTCGACACTTGCACGAGCAATAGAAGGGCGGCGGCGAGACGTTGTAGGCAGACAATTAGATTATGCGCGTGAGATCGAAGGAGCCGAGAATACAAATAATGACACTGCATACCTTTTTCGTTAATAGCGGCTGCGAGTCATCGAAATGCACAGGATCCGGTGTCGGCAAATCACCCATTGCAACGCTTAGGCTGCCACGGCGTTGAAACGCCGTACGACTACGCTATGCTGCATAAAGCGAAGTATTGGAAACTACAAGCTTCACTACGCGTGTGGTGCCGTTGTGTGTAGTCTCAGTTCGAACTTTCGTCCACATGCTCACACACTCGTTCATATAAGCTGACCTTGGAAACTACGGTTTACGAACTCAGTGGCTGTGGCGCGATCATCAATAGGCTGCAATTGGATTGGTACAAGCAAACTGGGTGAGAAAATGTATGCCGCAATAAACAGCATATATGACTCCACAAATTATTTGCACAACTTTTTTCATCGTGTTTTTTATTGAGGTAATATAAAATTTATGATGTTTTTTTTACTTCGTTAATTGAGCCTCTAAAGAATGTTTAGATCCAAATCGAGGCGCTTGGAAAGCTGTTGGTTGGTGGGCTTGGGCTGCCAGAAAGTTGCTGGCGACGTTCCTAAGCGCGGTGTTTGTAAACACCGTGTAAAAAGCAATGCTGCACTTTTGAATTGCGGAAAATGAATTCCAGCGTAGTCGTGCTCGCGCTTTTCTCTCGTTTCGTGATATTTCTTCTTCAGGTAGGTTTCGCCATGTCTTCAGATCGCGAAATCGACAATCGTGTTCTGAAAGAATGCGCGGGTGAGACCTCGCTAAACGCTTTGTAGTGGCGTTTTAGAGCCACGCGGAAGCTAGACGACCGACTTAAGACTGTGGATTGCAAAATAACCAGTTTATTTCGGTTCAGACTTCTTTTTGAAGCAAAAAATAGCATTCATGCTGTGTTGGCTGTTCCAAGTTTGCAGATGCACATGTACGTTTTCATTGATTGGATAATCGGCTTTATCATCAGAAATCAGCGCGACATGGGGGAGGGCACGAAAGTGAACAGAGAGAAGAGGTGCCTCTCATCGCTGGTCTGATCGTTGAGGATGCGCCACCAGCTAGCCCAGTCACACACAAACTTCGCTTCGATCGTCGGCAGACTATTTTCGTTCAGGCATTTTCCGCCAAGTACCGAAGAAGGTTGTGTATAACAAAGATAAAACGAGCCTTTACATTCCACTCTTTTCATTTGTTTTAACACAGGTTATACAAGCTCACCAGATGTTTCTTTGTGGCGTCCAGGGTACCATCTATTGCGACAGTTCGCGTGTGCGATTTAAAATTTCGCGCCACAAAAACAAGCAAATTAAACGACGCGTCCTCTTCTTAATCTTACTAGATTGCCTTCAACTGGGCCGTGCCTGACCACAACGCGGACGCTTTCCGGTCGCCCTGGCCTCCGAGCCGTGACCTGGGGGACCGCCTCGTCTCGTGGCTCTTCGGCGGCCTGACGCGCTGGGACAGTCAGTACTTCTTGCATATCGCCGAGCACGGCTACACGTACGAGCAGACGCTGGCTTTTTTCCCGCTGTACCCTTGGCTCGTCCGCCAGACCGCCGACGGCCTAGTCGACCCTCTCACCAATGCCTGCCTGTCACGCCACAGCGTGCTCGTCCTCAGCGGCGCTCTCGTTAACGTCTCATTCTTTGCCGTCGCCGCCGTGGTGCTGCACCGCCTGACCCATCAGCTCTTCTCCAAGGAACACGCCGACGAGGCAGTCCTCTTGTTCTGTTTCAACCCAGCGTCCATCTTTTTCAGCGCCTGTTACAGCGAATCCGTGTTCGCAGCCATCAGCTTCTTGGGCATGCTGTTGCTCGAGCAGAACAGGCCGAATCTGGCGACGTTTTTCTTCTGCCTGGGCGGCCTTGTTCGGTCTAACGGGTTCCTGTCTGCCGGATTCCTGCTGTATTCTGGTTTGGTCTGTGGCTTGACACCAGTTAGATCCGTCTTCCGGGCATCATTCTGTATCCTGCCATTCCTTCTGTTCCAATGTTACGCATGGTCACTGTTTTGCATACCTGACTACTCTCAGCGATTCTCTCCTGCGGTGCTGAATCAGGCAGCTGAGTCGGGGTTCCGGCTGGCCGGGCGTAATGCTTCCAAGTGGTGTTCGAATCTTCTCCCTTTCTCCTATGGATACATCCAGTCACACTACTGGGATGTCGGTTTTCTCATGTATTATCGCCTGAAGCAGATGCCCAATTTCATTCTTGCATTGCCGGTCGTCATAGTCATCCTACATTCCTCGGCCTTTGCTCTAAAACGATGCAGTGACAGCCGACACATTCCATATCTTTTGCATGTGGTTGGTTTCCTGATGATCACAGTTCTCTTTGCAAATGTTCAAGTGGTGACACGGCTGATTGCTGCCTCAAGCCCAGTGTTGTATTGGACGACATTTCTCGGTTCCAACCAAGTTGAGAGAAAGTCTCGCTCTGTTGTCTGGGCAGATGTTGCAGTGAACTTGTGGCAGAGTGATATCCATTCTAAGCGCATTGTCACCTATTTTTTGGGTTATGCAGTATTGGGAACGGCCTTGCATGTCAATTTTTTACCGTGGACATAACTAAGTTAATTTGTATCACCCACCAAGAATTGTGATAAGTTTTATGTCAAGATATATTTATATCCAAAATGCCAAAAATTGCATCTTCATGTGCTTTTGTGTGGCTAGTCCTATGTGACATTTCATTATTCAGGGCTCCGTCTTTTCATAGTTTATTTTTCTTCAAGTTAGCAGTGTGTTTCTGTGAAGTTTGTATTGTGGCAGAAATTTGGTGTTTAGCAGAGCTTATTTCTCTTAAGTACCTAATTCTCTAAAATTTGAACTGTAATTTTTCGTTATTTTTAGTACTCCTCTATCCTAAATAGAATTATGTTTGAACATAAAAACATCAGAACTCGGGAAGTGTACTTTAGTTGTCTGAAAGTTTCGAATGTGCATACACACACACAAGCACAAATATGTGAATGCAGAACACCTATGCTTGTGTGTATTACAACCCTGAAGCCTGTTATATAGAACACATATTTGACGAGGTCTCTGTATTTGGTGTCACTATGTGCATTTCCGTTGCCGTCTCTTGCTCCGTGCTAGATAAGCCCTTTGTTAAATGTGCATGGGTGCGATCTGCAAGGTACGGTTTACGTGAGGTAAAGTTTATATCGGCCAAATCAATGACTGTATCGGTGACCGCTTAGAGCATGTTCTTTAAAGAACTGGACAAGGTCATATTGGCCAATAAATTCTAAACATTTTGCGGGTGAAAGTTAACGGGATCTTTACAGATTTATCTTAAAACACGGAGCCCTATGTATAATCAAGGTCAACTTTGCTGATAAGGCAAACGCATCTAACTACGAAGGTTGGCACTACAAGATGTACTCAGCATATGGAGTTCTGCGGGAATATGCAAGGTGTAATATGTTCAATGAATGGCAAGATATCCCTTTTACTTATAGGTTACTGACACTTGTAGTATCAAGGTAGCATCGTTGGTTTGGCATAGCACTGGATAAATAGACGAGGACAGAAAAGAGGCTTTACACATACGAGCTCTTCTCCATCCTTATCTCCTGCCCTGCGATGTAATTAATGTGTCAAATCAGTTTTGCCGAATCTTGAGGGGCAAAGTAAGCGATCTGTCACAGAAAGGAGGAGGTATGTAATCGGAGGGAGACACACGGTATTTGTGAAGGCTTGTCTGGAAGTCAAGATGCGAGAATAACTGCAGAGTGGGCAGAGGCCCCATTGTTTCTATGGATTGAGTACAAAACAATCACCGGACGAGTTGGATTGGATTGAAACTCAAGCGCTTGAGACTGGAAATTTGAATTTGCGTCTGTCAAACGCCATTCCTGTGCCGATAATTCGGGAAAATTACCAATCATCACTGAACGCCTCTTCAAATTGCGACACCACCTAGCGTTTACTCAATACACTAGATTAAATTTATTGTGTCATCGTGCTATTTCTCAAGTTTTGAAAAACAATGCCTGTCAATATAGACGTTCAGCTATAACATTTCTGTATTCCTTCATGCATGAAAGCATATCTGAATTTTCTCAGCTCGCCTTTTGGCTGTTGGCTTCCTGTCGTTTCGTCACTTCTCTGTTCTGTGATAGAAAGCTTGCAATATTCACCCTGCTAGGATGATTAAAATTATGAAAAAGAAATGCTGTTCACCTGAATGTTTGTCAAGTGATTCTATTAAAGATTACTCTTTTAGATTGTCTTTCTGTGATGCCATCATTTGTGCCAATTCTAACTGAAGCTCATTGTTGACATATTAAGAGATGTCACCTGACAAGGTGTAGCGACTCGACGTCAGGAACTTGCATGTTGCTTGGTCGAGCAACAAACATATTTCAATGGAATTTAATAGCTATTGATGTTCGCTGTTCTTCGTTTGGTCAACAACCTGCCACACATGGCATCATTACCTCTCTGACCACATCTTCTCTTGTGTGTGTATTACATTAAAACACATAGTTTATTATGCAGCCAGTATAAATGAGGTGCATTGTTCTTGCTTTGCAGCCATTTTTGGGGATTCAGCAAACTGTCCTTGATTTCAATATATCTTGTTTGTATAACAGTACAGTGGTTTCCAGCTTGTCCGTTTTTATCGCAGCAGTATTTTCCAGGTTTTATTTTATGTGTTCTGTGTGTGTATATAAAAAAAGGGGAAATTATGACGAAATAATGATTACTTATACACAAGCGGACTGTAGTGAACATTGCATGTTCTTTGTGCCAAAAGGCTCACTGGAGCTCAAGAACATTCTAGTCATTGCCTTTCGGTTGCTGGTATAGCCAGGGCAAATCAGTGATGGCAATTGTCTCCATATGTAGTTGCAAATAAATTATTTCATAGGGTGTTTTGTGTTATGTTGTATGGGAAAGCCAACACACACACATGCACACACACATATATACACAAATAATAGATTGTGTTTATTCCTGAAGCAGTGTAATAGCGGGAACGTGGCTTTAGAATAAAATTTCCCCTTGACAAATGTAGCCCAGGACACACTAGTGGTATACATATAGTACACCAACATGACAAAAGTGCTCGAGTTTGGGAGTGTAAAAACTAAATTGAATGTGAGCTTCAATAACCATAGCTGATCCGACCTCACACATTTGCCGTGCCTTCGATGACGTGCTTCGTGCAGGACCTACGAGCTGCGCCGCGAATAAATTTGTGACAATCGACACGGTAAGCACGTTGTCACAATCTGGCTGGTCTGGGTAAGCTTTATAATAGCACTGATCGCAAGAATTTTTGGGCACTTTAAAAGCAACCAATAACAGCTCTTAATAGGAAATAATAATGCCGTTAACTTTTGTAGTTTAGCGTACCAAAACAACTTGATTTTCAGGCATGCTGTAGTGTGCAGGAACTCTGGATTAACTTCTACCACCTGTGTTTTTTTTTTAATGTGCACTTAAATATGATGCAAGTATATATAGCATTCTGTCTCACGTGGGGCCATCGGGGTGAGGAGCAACACCCTAAGTTTTGCAGCAGGTCAGTCAACACAACTCAGGCTTTCTTTGGCTTCATACAGTTGGTTTGACAAAAACCCGACCCCTCCATCTATTATTCTTCCTTCGTACAAAATGTGTTCAGTGTACTCCACACTGATTTTCCTCAAGATATACGCAACCGTTATATTGTGCCAATATAAAACATTTGGAGAAAACAGGTCACTAACCTGTTTTTCAACAATGCCTTTACCTGGCCAGACTGCCGAACTCTCGACTCGCTTTAAATTGCGACCAGTGCAGATGATGGAGGAGGTTGCATCATACTCCTATTGTCATACTGTCATCCTGGAATAGGAGGTTCACAATGTTGAACCGACTATCTCAATTTTGATCTCGTGCACAATTCGTTTTGCACTTCAACTAGGCAATGCAAGAGGTGATAATAGTATACATGTATGCAGGCATCAGCCTCCACCTGAAGTTTATAGGTAGAAAAAGGCAACATTGTTCAGAATAGAGCCTGTTGCCTTGGTGACGTGATGGCACATATCACAGTGTCAGAACCACTATATTGTGAGGAACCGGTTTATTCGGCCAGGCTCGAGCTAAATCGCGCTGGTGATGATATTTTTAGATGAAGATGTACAGGTGATGATGATTACAAAGAGAATAAAGAGTCATTCGCTTGTCGCGCTCACACTAATTCCCCCGCGCGGTGAAAGCGGCCGCCTGGTCGCTTGACAGTATTATGAAATGCGTCGTGCATAAGGCTTTAAACGAGATACGTGCACTATCTCTGTTCCTCGGCAACGATGATCAGGACTAGCGCTAAGAGGAGAAACGCGGTAATTGACAGGAGATGTCTGTTCGACCACCGTGTATGGCCCAATGAAGCGAATGATGAATTTGTCGCATAGGCCGGGGACGCGTAGTGGAGTCCATAGAAGAACTTCGTCACCAGGGGAAAAACTCACAACACAGCGAGATGAGTCGTAGCGAGATTTTCGAGTGTCTTGAGAGAGGCCGGTGTTAACACGGGCCTGGTGATGGCAGTGTGCGAGACGAGATAGGAATTCTTCAGAGAAAGGAGCCGTCGAGGGTGCAGGGGCCGAAAGGAAAGAGACATCCAGAGCGAAACTCGGCGAGCGACCATGGACGAGAAAAAATGGAGAAAAGCCGGTAGTGCGTTGAGCAGTCGTATTATAGGCGAATGTCACGAAGGGTAGAATTGCATCCCAGTTCGTGTGGTTGGGGTGAATGTACATGGCGATCATGTCCGATAGGGTCCGATGAAACCGTTCAGTCAATCCGTTGGTCTGCGGGTGGTAGCTAGAAGTGGTCTTGTGAACAGTGTTCGAGGCACGCAAAACTTGCTCGACAATAGAAGATAGGAAGACTTTGCCACGATCACTGAGGAGAATGCATGGAGCTCCATGACGCAAAAAGATGTGGCGAAGAAAGAAATCGGCGATCTCAGTGGCAGTCCCAGATGGTATAGAAGCTGTTTCTGCGTAGCGGGTAAAGTGGTCGACTGCCGTGACAATCCAGCGATTCCCATTGGATGATATAGGAAGAGGGCCATACAAGTCAATTCCAACGACTTCAAAAGATGAGGCGGGACAAGGAAGAGGTTGCATTAAGCCAGCCGGAGCAGTTGTCGGTCGTTTTCGCCGTTGGCAATGGACACAGGAGGCGACGTACTTAGCGACGGCTGAAGAGAGGCCAGGCCAAAACAACGACTTCGTACTTTGTCGTAAGTCTTGTGGTAGCCTAGATGAGCAGCGGTTGGATCATCATGAAAGGCTTCCAGAACTTCAAGTTGCAGAGAACGTGGGACGACGGGTACCCACTTGTTGCCATCGATGTGGTAAATGTAGCGACATAAAGCATCACCGACAAGCTTAAGCTTTGTCTCAGTGGAAGAGTCCAGAATAATTTTGGCCAGCTGGGATTCATCTAAATCTTTAAATACACAAACATTTTTACATTTTGCTTTCATTGAAATGCCCGCACTGTGATTGAGAATCTAACAAATATTCTCAAGCGCAGCAGTGCAAAATCTTAAACCTTTTGCTAACATTGACAAGAATAGCTGTCATGAGATTCGTACCAAAATGACCAATCATGCATCATTAACGAAAATTGGTCTAACATAGAACCCAAGACTACATTCATTATGCACTTGAACGAACTCAGATATAATAAAATATCAGTTATAGTGAAGTAAATAAAATATAGTCTTGCAATAGATATATTGTTAGGAATAAACCTTCAAAACAAATTTTTGGATATAACAAACTTATTTTCGTGTAAGAGAAAACTTTGTTATAATGAGGTTTGAGGGTACTTGCGTTTCTCGATGCTGGATGCCCACACTTGTCCATGTTTGGCCATTAGTGTCCCAGCTTTCATTTTATTGCCAACTTTCATTGTATCACCATGCGGTGAAGCTGACTTTGAGTCTATTTAATTTTTTAAATCATTGGCGAAACAGAAGAAACCTGATTTAATTGAAAGAACGATACTATTTTATAGAGAAAAGTAAAATCTCCACAAGTTATACAAAAAAAATTTGGGGGGTTACTTAGGCGTGTTTTTCTTAATGAAAAGGTTAACTGCTAATTTACCCCTGTGGGTATAATGCCACGTTCATCTTTCATCCAGATGCAAATAAGCAAATGCACAGGACAGCAAAAAAGGCTTTTATAAAATTCTATAATGCTCTTAACTGACACAACATAACGGCTACCTATGGCTATTCACACGCGACTTGTGGAAAAACAGTGTGGAACAAGGTGAACACATTTCGTACAAAGGAAGGGGAATAGATTGAGAGGCCGGTTTTTTGGCAAACCAACTGTATGAAGCCAATAAGTTATGTGCACTTTTCAAGTTGAAATGTGCAATTCATGAGATAAAGAAAAAATTAAGTGTATAAAGAAATAACTCTGCTATGAAATGAGTGAATCTGTAAGTGCACCTGGCAAAAAAAGAATGTTATGGCCGCAAGTAGCACTGGCTGACATTTCCAGGGTTACACAACCAGGCTTAAGAGAGTGGACAGGGGCACAGCTGCCACCATGACAGAATATTTAGCATGCAGTGTGTAGGTCTAGTCCCCAGCAGCATTAAGTTGTTTTTTTTTCATCATGTACTTCAATTTGTCCTTCTTCTCTCTCTTAATTACATAAATTAGGAACTATTGCTAATAATGCCCTTTATGCTTTATTAAGCTCAATTATCTGTTGGTGTTGTATGGTTGCACTGGATATGTCTTGATGGCATTTTACATTATCCACCAGAGGGAGGACGCAATTTCACTGCCCAACAGTGTAATGTTGGGTCTCAGTTGCAGTTTGACGGAGGCAGAAATCTGTCTAAGTAAATGGCAGCTATAAGACTTCTTTTGCAGGTGGTAAACAATTTAGGAGAAGAACATTGATCTTGAATGATGCAAGAGCCCTTTAAATGTTCAAAGGTTTTTCTAGCACAAGCTATGGATCCAAGGACACTGTACAGCAGACAGAAAAAAAAAAAAACCTTTGTAGCAGGAGCCATCAGCTCAGTCGAAGGGGATGCTCATCACATGCCTCAGTTTTCATCGTAGGCAGTAACAAGAAAAACTGCACAAGGAATGTCTGCAAAAAAAAAACTTTTATTACTTCTTTTCGTCATGATGTGGCACATCCATACCATAAAAATTAAAAAAAAATAATAAAAACAGCAAATCAACATTTCTTGCAGGCTTCCACGCACACATATTTATACAGTTTTCTCCCCAGGCACACACCGCAGCAAGCATATCACACTTTCAATAAAATGAGAGGAAAAAAAACAGCATTAAAAGACTCATCTTTTTTTTTTCCGAAAGAATATTGAGAAAGTTAAAAAGAAATATGCCGTACACGCGGGAGAGAGCCTGGGGCAGCACCGCGGCACGAGCTTTGACGATCCTGGCGTGTTTTAACAAGATACAGCACACACTGACCTGTGAAAAGTGACTTGGACGCACAAAAAAATACACACCGAAGAACAGCTGTACAATGACGACGGCATACATACACACGAACCATCTGCTTACAATTTGTACAGGGTGGGAATGGAGGAAAAAAAACTACAAAAACAAACAAAAAATTACACCTTAAAAGCTGCAGTACATGGCGCTGAAAGCATAAATTATTTCCCTCTCACGCGACTCTGCTTTTCCTATTCGCACTGCGGCGGTTGTCGCCCCTCCGCGATTGAGGTAAAATTCGCCCACTTCCTTTGCCCCGAAAACATCCCCGAAAATATCCCCTCCCGCAGAAGACTTTTTATTGCTTCTCCGATGAAAGCAATCAATACAAACAGCGCGGTTAGCTGGGCGCCCAGACCTCTTCAACTTCAC